AGCCAGGAGAGAGCGAAGTCTCTGAGGCCAAGGGAGTATAGTTTTTTTAGGAGGAGGGGGTGGTCGACCACGTCGAAAGCTGCGGAGAGATCGAGTAGTAGTAGCACTGAGTAGTGGCCATTGGCTTTGGCGGTTAGCAGGTCGTTGGTGAGTTTCAGTAGGGTGGTTTTGGTGGAGTGAAGGGGGCGGAAGCCAGATTGTAGTAGATCAAGGAGGTTTTTGTTGGTGAGGTGGGAGCTTAGGCGATTATAGGCTACGTGCTAAAGGAGTTTGGATGAAAATGACAGCAGGGAGATGGGTCTAAGGTTGTTTAGGTCGGTGGGGTCCAGGGAGAGTTTTTTAAGTATGGGAGTGATGTGCGCGTGCTTCAGGGGGGAGGGGAATGTGCCAGTAGAGAGGGAAAGATTAAAGATGTGAGTGAGGGGGCGTAGGATGGAGGAGGAGGGTGATCGTAGGAGTTGTGTGGGGACAGGGTCAAGGGGGCAGGTGGTAAGGCGAGCTTCAGAGAAGACCTTAGTGACCTCTTCGGTGATAACGGGGTCAAAGGAGTGGAGTGTTGAGGGGGTTTTAGTGTGAGGAATGTTGGGCGGGGTGGAGGTTTGGACAGTGACGAGGTCGAAGGAGGAGAGGAGTGTTGAGGGGGTTTTCATGTGAGGGATGCTAGGTGGGGCGGAAGTCTGAGCAGTGGTGATGTCCCTGCAAATTGCATCGATCTTGCTTTGGAAGTGGTCAACAATCCCGTGGGCGGTGAGTGAGGTACTGGGTGGAGGTGGGGGCGGAGAGAACAGGGAATTGAAGGTGGAGAAGAGGCAGTGAGGGCTGAAGGAGAGGGTATTGATGAGGGTTACAAAGTAGGCTTGCTTGGCAGCATGGAAGGAGGAAGTGTAGGTGAGGAAGGCAGATTTGTATCTGGTGAATGCTTGCTGGGATCTAGATTTGTGCCACAGTCGCTCTAGCGCGTGACTGCATTGCTTGAGGTTTTTGGTGTGGTCATTCTGCCAGGGTTGAAGCTGTCGGGGTCTAATGTTTTGTTTGGTTAGGGGTGCTAAGGAGTCAAGAGCGGCTGACAGCGAGTTGTTATAGGCAGTAGTGGCCAGGAGAGGGGAAGGATACTGTCGTAAGTTGGGCAGCTGCAGAGTGGAAGGGGGCAGGGTCCAGGTTGTGGAGGTTTCGGCTGGTGATGGTTTGACGTTTGGAGGGGTAGGTGTAAGAGGACGAGGAGATGGAGAAGGTGATGAGGTTGTGGTCAGAGAGGGAAAAATGGGTGTTTGTGAGGTTGTGGGGGGTGCAGAGATGAGAGAACACAAGGTCCAGGGTGTTCCCGTCGGAGTGGGTGGAGGACTGTATGCACTGTGCGAGTGCAAAAGAAGAGGTTAGGTGGAGGAGTTGGGATGTGGCTGGGCTATTGCTGTTGGTAGGGATGTTGAAGTCTCCAAGGATGATGGTGGGCAGCTCGGAGGAGAGAAAGAAGGGTACCCAGGTGGAGAAGTCATCGAGGAAGCGGGATACGGGTCCAGGGGGCCGATAGATTACTGTGATCATCAGGGGGATTGGAGAGAACAGTCGGATGCAGTGGGCCTCAAAGGAGGAGAAGGATAGAGAGGGAGGGTTTGGGAGGACTTGGAAGGTGCTCTGCGGTGACAGGAGCATACCAACCCCACCACCTCTTCGACCGCTGGGTCTGGGTGAGTGGGTCCAGGTGAGACCTCCATAGGAGAGTGCTGCAGGGGAGGTAGAGTCGGTGGTTTGGATCCAGGTTTTGGTGATCGCCAGGAGGTTGAGGAGACAAAGAGGTCGAGGATGGTGGTAAATTTGTTGCAAACCGAACGGGCGTTCAGGAGTGCACATGAAAACGGAGGGGTGGTTTTGGGGAGCGGTTTTGGGGAGCAGGGGGACCGGTATTAGGTTGAGGGGGTTGCGGCAGTTCATGGAAGTAGGTAGGTGCCTTGTGGATGAGTGAGGTGGAGGAGGACCAGGGTTTGGGGAGATGTCCCCCGCGGTTAGGAGGAGAAGAAGGGTAAGAAATGTGGCCTGGGAGCAGGATATACAAGAGCGTGTGATTCTACCATTGGTGGCGGTCGGGGCAATGGGAGAGTGGAGCAGCAGGAGGAGGTGGTGAGAGCCGTATAGGGGAGAAGGAAGCAGTGAGGGCGCGATGTATATTTGTTTGGGAGGAGCGGGGGGGATAGAGAGAAGAGATTTTGGGGACGGAGGAGAAGAGTATGAGGAGGAGGAATACAGGTGGCATTTTAGGGAGGTAGACGAAGTGGCGGACAAGTGAGGTGGAAAGTCTCTCCGGGCGTTTGGTTGTGGATAGTCGGCGTGTAGTGGCGTATCTTGTAGCTGTACCTTTCCATGACAAGAGTTCATGTGCTTAGGATCGGGGGATGGGTAGAGTTCTGTTCGGCCAGTTGTTGTCAAGGGTAGTCAAGTGTCAGATGGGTTGTGGGTCAGGCCAGGGTTGTGCCGGGGTAGGCGATGGTAGGCCTCACCAGGTCGAGATCGTCCATTGGGCTCGGCAGGTCCGGGCAGGGTTGCGACGTGGAGGGCGGTGGTAGGCTTCACCAGGCTGGGGTCGTCTGCTGGGTTCGGCGGCATGGAAGTAGGGTTGTGACATGGAGGGCGATGGTAGGCCTCACCAGGTCGAGATCGTCTGTTGGGCTCGGCAGGTCCGGGCAGGGTTGCGACATGGAGGGCGATGGTAGGCCTTACCAGGCTGGGGTCGTCTGCTGGGTTTGGCGGCTTGGAAGTAGGGTTGCGATGTGGAGGGTGATGGTAGACCTCACCAGGCTGGGGTCATTTGCTGGGTTTCGGTGGCGTGGAAGTAGACTCACTTCTGGTCCCTCTGTCGATTGGGGCAGCAGGAGACCGGTGGGCGCCCGGATTGTGCGCTGTAGGCAGACACATCAGGTCGAGATCATCCGTTGAGGAGATGCGGGGTGGACGTCCGCAGTGGAGGTGTTTCCGGGGGTCATCGGATGGGCTTCGGGTCAGGACAGGGTTGTGCCGGGGTAGGCAATGGTAGGCCTCACCAGGTCGAGATCGTCCGTTGGGCTCAGCAGGTCCAGGCAGGGTTGCGTCGTGGAGGGCGATGGTAGGCCTCACCAGGCTGAGGTCATCTGCTGGGTTCGGTGGCATGGAAGTAGGCTCGCTTCTGGTCCTTTAAGGTGATGAAGTCCAAGGCAGAGCGGGCCTAGGCCCCTGGATCTCAGCAACAGGTGGGGCATTTGGGTCCACAACGGATTAAAAGGTCCGCCGGGCCGTATGCGGCCCGCGGGCCGTAGTTTGCCCATTGCTGTCCTAGAGGCTTGTGGGCCCCTAGGGGTCGCTGAAAGGAGGTGAGGAGGCATTGCAGTCAAAGTGGAAGAGTGTGTTTTCACGAGTGGCACTATGATAACACACTGCATGTGCATTTAAGCATCACTTGGATTACATTGTTTTATATTGTTTTTTGGACATTGGACGATATATTAATTTATAGTGATTTGGCACAATCACACGTTATATGTTTATTTGAAGTGGCACTAACACAAATTATGTTTAATGATTTTAACATAGCACCATTATGATATATGTTGTTTAATATTATTTATGAGATAAGTGACACGCGTGATGAGCACTTAGAGTATTATAGGCACTGTGAGATTTCTCACAAGGCCAATACATTTAATTTATCACTTTCATACAGATTGTTTTGGTACCCAGTGATTGCCGAGCATCTCCAGCGGGGGGGGGGGGGGGGGGGGGAGAACTGTTTGCAAGCACAGCAGTGTGCTTACAGTGAAGCGCTAACACACAGCCCCACAGTAGAACAGCACACAGTTAACCCTTTGATCACCCCACATGTTAACCCCTTCCTGCCCAATGCCATTAGTACAGTGTCAGTGCTTTTTATTAGCACTGATCACTGTATTGGTGTCACTGGGGATGTCAGTGACACCAAGTCAGTTCCCCCCAGTGTTAGAATGGCCGCTGTAGCCCCACTATAAGTCTCTGATCGCTGCCATTACTAGTAAAATTAAAAAAAAAAATCCTGTATCTATACCGCTATTTGTAAATGCTATAACTTTCACATAAACCAATTAATTTACACACATTGGGATCTTTGTTTAGCAAAGACATGGAGCATAATACATTTTGCATATACAAGAGGGGGTGCAGCGCTAAAAAAATATATATCCACAGTATTATTAAAAGTCAAAATTAAAAGCAAATACAGTGACCATGTGCTTGTAATAAGGCCACTTAATAGTGGCTGTAAAGTGAGGGAAGTAACGATTTATTCAGTATTCAGGCACAAGATAGCAGAAGAGGTACCAACAGATCAAAAAATAGTGACCAAGTACATATGCAAGATGGCCGCTGGGGCCCCTCGTGGCGCGGGTGGCGTAGCATCCCACCTGCTGTAGCTCAGTCTCCCTGCTAACGCAGCGCCATATCTAAAAAAATGGCCTGGTCAGGAAGGGGGGTAAATCCACTGGAGGGCAAGGGGTTAATAAGCACTGTTTTTATATACCGTATTTTACACTCCATAAGACGCACGTTTTTTCCCCCCAAAAAAAGGGGGGGAAATGTCAGTGTGTCTTATGGAGCGAATATGGAGCAGCTGGTCTGGTATTTCCGCAGCCGCCACCGTGTCAGAATACCGGGCCGGCCGCTCAGCTCTTCTCTACAGCAGAACCTTACCTGTTCCTCGGATCCAGCGTTGCGCAGTCTTCCCGCACCAGAATTTTTAGTGTGGGCTCTCAGCTGTGACAGTTGGGTGCCCACTGCGCATGCATGAGAAGCGCTGCACTTTGTGAATGGCCCGGCGTCTTCTGGGACACATGACAGGTCCCAGAAGACACCGGGCCATTCACAAAGCGCAGCGCCTCTCATGCATGCGCAGTGGGCACGCGGCTGTCAGCCGCATGGCCACACTAAAGGGAGGACAACTCCACGGAAGTGGGAGCGAGTATCTGTCAAATTCAGGTACCCGATCCCCATCCCTTCCCAAAGTTCCGCAGTCTCTTGGTCATCTCCTGTACTGCCAACAGTCTCTGGTATGCTCCTGTACTGTCAGCAGTCTCTGGTCTTCTCCTGTACTGTCTGCAGTCTCTGGTCATCTTCTGTACTGTCTGCAGTCTCTGGTCTTCTCCTCCTGTACTATGTCCGCAGTCTCTGGTCATCTCCTGTACTATGTCCGCAGTCTCTGGTCATCTCCTGTACTATGTCCGCAGTCCGTCATCTCCTGTCTATGTCCGGTCATCTCCTGTACTATGTCCGCAGTCTCTGGTCATCTCCTGTACTGTGTCTGCAGTCACAACAATAAAGCAAAAACAGGCCACCAAAAATGACACGAATTACTGGTGTCATTAGCATATCTCTGACTCACTTGTATAAGTGTGGATACATAAACCCAAAAACAGCATACTAAACAATATGGTAGTGTGACAAGAACACCCCTACCTGAAAAAGAAGGTTACTAGATGATCCACGCGGAGTAATATGAATTCAAAAGAATTTTTAACAATACTTTATTTGATCACATAGATCATAGGGAGGTTAAACATGAGCACGGTGTACATGTGAAAAAAATAAAATCATGTTAAAAAACACTTAGCGTCTTCAATTTAGGGTCATCTTAGCAAATAGAGCACCATATAAGGCAGAGTTGTGTAATGATGAGATAGTTATCCTGGGTTTCAGGTTTCCCGCTTATATTTGAGTAAACCATGTATTCAGCAGATGTGTTCCCAATATATGTCAGGGACCTCCTGGAATGTAAAAGCTGGAACACAAAAATACATAGTATATGTATAGAAATATGAAAACCAAATCACATCCAAAATTCACCAGGCCTCCCTCCACAGTAGTCAATGGATACTACTATTACCTTCTCAATAGTGAGACTATCATACCCGCTTCTCAAGTGTAGGGACTTCCTGGATAGCCACCCCAAGTGAAACAAGGTCCACAGTACCAAATGATTCTGAGGATATATATAGAAAAAATAATAAATATATAGATCATGGGCATCAAGTGACCCCGAAAACAAAACACACACAAAATGTGGATATATTACCATCAATAAAGATCAAGAAGACTCCTGTCGACTTGAAATAGGATCAGGTCCTTGATGCTTTTTCAAAGATGCATATGGGGGTGAGGAGCCAGGTGACACAATGCGTGGATTTCAAACACATATAATGTGTATGTAGCATATAGCAGGCCGTAGATACCTGAGTTTAATATACCCAATAAAGGGTTTCCAAAAATTGCTCAATTAGAGAAGGTTATTGCGGTTTTATAAGGATGTGGCTATGTCACAGCAAAAGATACCTGAATAGGATAGCGTATATATATATATATATATGTAGATTATCCTCCAAAGAGGATTTCCAAAAAATTCCCCGAGTATACAGTATACTGTCCGCAGTCTCTGGTCATCTCCTGTACTGTCTGCAGTCTCTGGTCATCTCCTGTACTGTCTGCAGTCTCTGGTCATCTCCTGTACTGTCTGCAGTCTCTAGTCATCCCCTGTACTGTCTGCAGTTTCTGGTCATCTCCTTTACTATGTCCGCATTCTCTGGTCATCTCCTGTACTGTCTGCAGTCTCTGGTCATCGACTGTACTGTCTGCAGTCTCTGGTCATCTTCTGTACTGTCTGCAGTCTCTGGTCATCCCCTGTACTGCCTGCAGTCTCTGGTCATCTCCTTTACTATGTCCGCAGTCTCTGGTCATCTCCTCTACTATGTCCGCTGTCTTTGGTCATCTCCTGTACTATGTCTGCAGTCTCTGGTCATCTCCTGTACTATGTCTGAAGTCTCTGTTCATCACCTGTACTGTGTCCGCAGTCTCTGGTCATCTCCTGTACTGTGTCCGCAGTCTCTGCTCATCTCCTGTACTGTGTCCGCAGTCTCTGGTCATCTCCTGTAGTATGTCCGCAGTCTCTGCACATCTCCTGTACTATATCCGCAGTCTCTGGTCATCTCCTGTACTGTGTCCGCAGTCTCTGCTCATCTCCTGTACTATGTCCGCAGTCTCTGCTCATCTCCTGTACTATGTCTGCAGTCTCAGGTCATCTCCTGTACTATGTCTGCAGTCTCAGGTCATCTTCTGTACTATCTCCGTCGTCTCTGGTCATCTCCTGTACTGTGTCTGCAGTCTCTGGTCATCTCTGTACTCTGCTGTCTCTGCTCATCTCCTGTACTGTGTCTGCAGTCTCTGGTCATCTCCTGTACTGTATCTGCTGTCTCTGGTCATCTTCTGTACTATGTCTACAGTCTCTGGTCATCTCCTGTACTATGTCCGCAGTCTCAGGTCATCTCCTGTACTGTGCCTGCAGTCTCTGGTCATTTTCTGTACTATGTCTGCAGTCCATTGGTTCAGAATATTTTTTTTCTGGTTTTTCTCCTCTAAAACCTAGGCACGTCTCATGGTCAGGTGCGTCTTATTGAGCGAAAAATACAGTATATTGTATATTGATTTATGATAATTTTACATATATATTTATTTGTGTAGTCATATATATATAGCACTGCACCATCTTGATTTATTTGTTCTCTGGGTATTGTCACTTACCTTTGTTACAAGCAGCTCCAAGACTCTAGCGCTCGCCATTTTTATTTGATTGCTATCAATGACCACTGATTGATCAGATCTCTGTCTTTAGTGAGCACACAGTAGGTGACTGTCAGTCACTGGCTCCCTGCTCTTCCCGTCCAGCGCTCACGGGAATGCCAGGCCATGCAGGGGGCTGGAGTAGTAGTTGGTCAGGATATCAGCAGCATGCTGAGAATCTGAACCAGCTGTCAATCCAGGCATCTGGGTGGATCCCAACACAAAGTGGGGATCTCTCCAGAGTCTGGATCAGCTGAATGATGTCAGCAGATAGCAGACTTTAGCCCTGGGCACAACAAAGTGAACTCCTGTGATCTGTAGGGAAAGAAAGGCCAAAAGAGCTTTGGCTTTACTTCTCCTTTAAAGCAGAACTTGTAAAAAACTCTGTGCATTTTTGCTGTTTACTTTTTCTGTGGATAAAGTACTATATGCCCAATACTCATTTACATTGGAGGCGGTATATGAGACAACCTTATTGCTGAATTAATTTCCAAATTTCAATAACACCCCTCCTGCAGACCTCAAAAACCACTGGGCCATGGTTGTGGAAACAAGGTCCTTGTCCTCATCAATACGGGACAAGGTGCTCCCTCCTTTATGTTAAGGGCATGTGGCCTGATATGGTTCAGGATCAGGAGGGGGGTACACATTTCCCCTATTCCTGACCAACATTTATATCAGGCACTTAAGATGCGGGTCTGGTATAGGTGAATGGAATGTTTGGCTGTTTGTTTACAGACAGACAAAGAAGCTGAGAGCTACCATTTTCTTGCCAGTTGACAGCCATCAGCAACGATATGCCATTTCACAGGCAGGGTCAGGATATCTCCAAGGCATGGTATTTAATAGAATTTTGCATTTTTAATGTTTCACTTTAAGCACTGCTAAAATTGATGCTCTCTGCTAAATGGAATTTAATTTTTTTAAATACCCTCAAGGGCAGTGTCCAGCCCCCTATGCCATTTGTTTGATAATTTATTGTCTATTAGTCTAGTCTGTTTTTAACATTCAGCACATATTGACTTCAATGGGGTTTCAGATTTAGCACACAAACGTTATTCATGTTATTAAACCCAGATGTGTTCTGCACATTACAATAAAGAACTCAACTGTTTCCCAGCCCTGTAGGCCATTGTATCAGGAGTACTGGGACAGACACTAAGAGGCTGGGTGTCCTTTCCTCTCAAAGGTTTGTGAGAGCTCAGATTCCCATACTTCTACGGAAGATGGCTTAATTGAGAAGAGATTGTTGCTGATTAAAAAAGAAAAGAAAAAGGATGCCTTTGCTTTTGTGAGATGCGTTGTCATAAAAGGATACAAAAACATTGGGAATATGAGACTCTCCATGTACAAGATTCGCTAGGATGGACCGGAGGTGTTAATATTTGTAGAAGGTGGTCATTGTTGCCCTTATGGTGAAATAACAAAAATCGAGGAGATCATAGGCCTAGTAATATAGCACCCAATGTGCCCTGCGAGGATGATCCCAATAATGAACGTTCAATGAACGTGCAAATATGGTCTGCAGTCGGTGACCACCAATATTTGAGTTGATCTAGTATCTCTGCTTAGTGATAAGCCTTGAGATTCAGGACTCCCATATCAGCAGCTATTTTAGATCTGTATAGAATCAAGGATTTAAATCTGGATTTTTTACCATTGCTGCTTTGCAAAAAAAGACAATGAAAGAGGAATCAGAACAGTTCTGAATATATATAATATGGTAGGTAGAAGATGGCAGCTCTGCAGCTGTAGACCCTCATCTAAAGATGAAACAACCACTACAGAGCCATTATTAAAAATAATGAGCTTTGTCTGGTTACCTCACCGATAAATGATTTTATGGCTTCTTAAAGTTTTAGGTACTGGCAGCAGATTATTCTTTTGCTGGAGAGCATGCTGGGACAATTCTGGTAACCCACGTAGCATGGAATATTTTTCCAGGATGACTACTGGTATGCAAAAGGAATCCACAATTTTCTGTTTCATGTGGAAAAAGCGGACCCTCAATATCACATCTCTATTGACCTTGATGGATAAATGTGAAAACTTAAGAATTCAGAGAGGAGAGAGTGGAAAAGGTCATGGACATAGGCAGATAGTTTGTCCCATTGAGTTGTTTCAGGAATGCCTCTTATTTAAAAATGATTGTGGCAGGTTCATTCCTCCAGATCCATTATTTTAGATCGTAACCAGGACAATATGTCAGTGTGTTCAGTATGGGAGTCTAGGAGATTGATGAAGGATGAAGCAAACTCCCTCACAAGGCATTCAATCTGACCTATTCTCTCTCCTGATGTCCTCCTTAAATCATTGCATACATGTCACAATGTCTGTCTGTAGAAAGGATCTAATGGATAAGAATGTATCCTTCAATGTGGTGTCCAGAATGGGTTGAGTGGACAAAGGGAACTCAGATATAGGATCTGAAAGAGGAGTAACACTGCCCTTATATTCTTGTCTGTCATTCAACTCCATAGATGCAGAGTTGCAGGAAGCACTTAATGCCCTGTGACAACTGAGCCTTGGATTTCACTGGGCTCTGGATTGAAGGAGTGGAGGAACCAGAAGATGATGATAGAACTGGAGGGGGCTGAGGGTTCTTAGCACTGCCTGGGAAGTGTCCAGGAGAAGCTGAAGCCACAGCATGTGTGCCCTGTGTGCGGCCGCCTATACCATTTTGTTGTGGGAAGAAAGT